GTGCGTGTAAAGGTCAAACTTGGCCATACCGAGCCACCCTCGGCTCAGTAATGGACCAAAAACATGCGACTAGGTCTCTTCATGTGAGCCGTACTCAAAGGTGAGCTAAAAGGGTAGTAGTGTGCCTAATCTCGCAATTTTTAAGCGCGGTTTTTTCGCTGTAACACTGCTTATAACTTCGCCTACAAAGGCGCTCTGCAGATAAGGAAGGCAGATTTGAAAAGAGCGTTCCATGCTGCATCGAATGGTATGCAGCTTGTTTGGATTGGCCACTTCGACTTCTGACCATTCCCCTGTTAGCAGTGTCGTAGTATATCCTCATTACAGTTTTACAGCTTCTTCATTGACTTCTCAGGGATACAAATTACTTCAAAAATGAGAGGTGAAATCCAGCGAATCCCCTTTGGATCCCCTGGGGATCGCACAGAATAGCAAAAAAATCTTTTTGGAAGTAACGTGCATCCATTATGCGCAGGTATAGTGTATGAAGTGTATAAATGTATGAAAAACTCCCTAAGAAAGATAGAGAAAGATGAAGAAAAATACTTAGAGTAGCGAGATATGACGCATTCCCTCTCAGATCCCCTCCTCTCTCCAGCGGAGATGTACGTGCATACGGGCCTTGATGCATGTTGCTAGTTATGAAGCGGAAGAGAAAAAGTGGGAATCTTTGACCTAAATCAAAAAATACGGGCAAGCAATGCAGCAAAGCGAGCTCTACATGATAGTATCTGAAAATCTTAAAAGGTTGGATTTGCATGAGGTTTGAGGAAAACATGCAGAAAATTTAGAACACTCACAAAACAGATTCTCGCTAAGAAAGAGATCTTGCGCCCAGAAATCGACAAAGCATACACTATGCACATAAGATATTCATATGTGCATTTGCGCATTATTTGTAACTGGAAACCGAAAAATAAGATTGTGGCATTAATCTGAATAACCACCTTCTTATGTTAAACGTGGATTTTTCGATAACCACGCATTGAGAAGGCTCAATATCTATCGTTATTTTTTGAAGCTTTGTATGGTATCTATGATGGGACAACAAAGCATTGTTTCTGCTAGAATAAGCAGAATTTATCTCGACTCTTGGCGAAAAAAAATTCAGTAATTGTACTTATGCATAGCTGATGACTTAAGTAACTTTGGTGAGTAAGTTTGGGTTTGTAGGGTTTTTCTGAGCAATGATCGGATTTTTTGCGCTTGGTATTAGATTTTTCTTCCCAACTTTCTGTATCAAACTCTTTTTTATTTGAACACGGTCTTGTAGAACTTGTTTTTCTCAACCGAATGTTATGTTCCATAAATTTTTATACCTTTTCTGCCGCACACGAATAAGTAACACGCATTAGTTGTACCTCAACCTGATACAAGCGAAGACTTCATAATTCTGGCTAGCTGTGATAAACTATCTCAGGTAGGTTACTCGAGGATGATTTGTTATATTTATATGTTGTACTACTCATTTGAAGAGCAAAAAAACTTAGTCAATCAGACAGATTGGAATTGTTCAGAGGTGTTGAAATTGAAAAAGTTATAGCATTTCAATGTGAGAGAATTCCGACAGATTTTCACTCGTACTGCGATATTATTTGTATTGACAACAAGCGTCTTTCTTGCTCCTTCTAGCACAAATCATACCTTAATAAAATTTCCGTCTGATGAGGTTATAGGAGTATTAGCTGGCTTACCCGGCTTTGTCAAAAACAATAAATGTTCCATTCCTATCCTTGTACAACCTTTCCCTGTGCCCACTTCTACATAATTCCCTTTTCCCGGTGTGTTAGTAATCAGAGCATGCTCACTTGTCTATGCCAACTCCCAGCTCCGTAGGTCAAACTTTGCAAAGAAATCGATAAAATCGATAAAAGTAAGGATAGTTCTAAAAACTAATGGCGTTATTGGCTATGCGGGCTCCAAAATGTTTTTGTGATGGATCTTGCTCAAACTCGGAATATGGGGTTATTGGGGAGCCGCTGATGACGAATATCGTAGTCATTTCGCGCGATAGCGCCATTTTTTGGGTTTGCGGTGGGTACACGTAAGAAGGCTAAAATCATGATTTTGCTGAAACTTTGTTTAAGGGGTGGGGGGCTAACTGACATGCTGATTACGAATATCACACTCCTTCGACATTTTGGGGGTTTTCACTGAGTTATGGTAGGTATACTGCGGAAAGGCAAAATCTCAGTTTTAGTTGAAACTCGGTCTAGAGAGGTTAGACCTTCTGACCGCGTTTAAAACACTCTCACTGCATTTTGAGACCTCCTCGCGGAGTTAATAGGTACATGGCAGCGGGTAAAACTCATGAACCTGCCTAAAACCTTGACAGGGGATTACCTAAGGTGCACATACAAAAATATCGTACTCAATCCCCACAATAAAGGGAATAGATGTGGTATAGAAGGTTTCCCACGACCGTAATGCTTTTCATATAAGACCATCGCCGCACGCGATGCACCCATTGGGGCTTTTGCCTAAGCAAAGAACAGAGAAGGGGAGATTTGCCGCGTGCGTTACGCGTTGGAACACGTTTCAGGATGGCGCTGGAGACCGCCATGCAAAACGAACGTTTCCCCATTTCGTGAATATCTGGGATCTAAATTGGCTCAAAAACGAAAAAATGTCTAATCAAACCCTGCAACTCACCATAACTTCACAATGATGCGTTATGACAGCGAGCAGGCATCATATCTATGAGCATACTTGTAAACCTGATAAGGTTTTCAGTAAATCTATTTCGACTTATCTACTGTAAAATGACGCTATCCTGCGAAATCATTATATTCATGTTCAGCACGCTCAATGACCCCCTAGACGAAGTTTAGAGCAAAGCTATGTTTTCGGTCTCATACCGTATAACCTCCATAACTCTAAGAAAAGGTCCCAATATGCAGAGAGAGTGTGATATTCGTAATCAACATTTCGAATAAGCCCTCTGAACCGAACTCCAGCCAAATTCATGATTTTGATTGATAAAATCGATATCGATCGATGACGAAAAATAGCCTATCACCCGCCCGGTCCCGAAGTGTATGTGTGCAAACTTTGGTCCGGATCGGTTTAGAAATGGAGTTTTCTATTCGAAACATACGTACAGACAGACAAACAGACAGACAGACGTACAGACGTACAGACATACAGACATACAAACATGCAAACAGACATTCAGCTTTATATATAAGATGATCCCCAGCTGGTCGAGACACGTTTTTAACAATGTTCTTGCGAGACCTCCACAACATGCTCTTTAAGTCAAGTCCTTGTATTGGTCATGGAGTATGGGTGAAACAGTCCATTATATTCACAAACCATTTTCATGTAAAAAAGTCCTATTAGTATAATTTTCTTGTTGAAGAATAATTATGCGTACAAAGGTTCTACATGCAATAAATTTTCGTGAAGAAAGGCAATCGGTGAGTCTAATGTTGGAGGTGCCAGGGTAAAGCAAGAGCTAGCAAAACCTAACCCCCAATCGCTTTTCACGCCTCGCGGCAGTCTAATTTTCTTGAATTGAAAGTTGGAATATACATGTGCTAAAACAAGGTTGAAAAGCTGCTTTGTTTTTATTCAGTCAGAAAAAATTATCTCGACGCTAAGATCCTATGGGCGCTTCTATGCAGTAAAATAATTTTCAAATTTATCTCTATCTACAAATGGCTGCCTGTCATTTCTCGTAAGGCCCCGGGCAGACTTCGAGCAATTTGATCGTCACGACTGAGTCGCGACGAGACAACTGCTACAACATCATTCCATGCCGATCAACTTGCATTCGGTTGTGCTACTTTTCCAGCCCAAAATTTTTGAATGTGAAATGAAAATGAATGGAAATCTTGGCGATTAGATCGCGACGATTAAGTCGCGTGAAGTCTGTCCGGGGCCTAAGGGAGCATTGCCATGTCAAAAAGGCAAGGTTGAAGAAAAACGCTGTAAAGTTTTTGAGCTCTCGCTTCTTCATTAGGGTTTTTCGCAAGAGCTATTTTTCCTGTGATAGCTAAAAGAATTCTTCAACACACAGAAACTAATTTGGAAAAAAGTTGACTTTGAAAGAAAATATGTTACTTTGAATTCAAAAATTCAAATTGGACAAAACTTATGCAGCAGCCTGAAATGAAGGTGAAGGAAAGTAATGTGACACTTACAGAATAACTAGCTTTCTCAAAAAATAGAAATAATCAAAAGCTCCAATTTTGAAGGTATTAGAACTCGTTATTCTCCTTCAGCCAATACTTATACAAGGTCATTTACATGTTCAATAATTTTTATACTTGCTGAAATGCAAAATCAATCACTTTGCCATTAAAACTTTAAACAGTATCTGTGCGGCAAAACTTGTGAAATTACCTGAAGTGCCACTGCTACAATGGTTGATGGGGCAGTTATCAAACCTATTGTATCAACGCTCAAAGTCAGAACATATGTTCGTTGGCAGTTTCGACAGCGGAGATGTATTTACTTTGCAGCAAGTAAAAACACAATCCTCTACCAACATTTAATAAAGTTCTTCACTCTTAATCCATTCATGCGCAGTTTACCTCGAATTTCGTCCAGCTTCGGGAAATAAAAACGAAAAAATGATCTTTTGTCCTTTATTTGAAAAAAGAACGGAGTTTTCCAGGCTTTCACCCTTTCTATCTGGAATCAAAAAGAATTTCCGCTTGACTAATACGGTCGTACGAAACAAAGAGTTTGCCGAATAGTATGTCATTTGCTTTATAGCAATGTTATGGCGTAGCAGCGCAAGACTGAGAGATAAGCAAAAAACCCCGTCCGAGTTGCTCGAGGCGCCATGCCAATGGTTGCAAAAGGAGCGGTAAAGCGTTGCTAGCGTGATAGGCGAAAATCGCTCGTATGAGTGAGATTTGAGTTGCAGCTTGTTGTTTATTGTCACAAAGAGTTCTAAAATCTAGTAAAATTCGAGGTGTCCTTCTACCTTTCGTTTGGCCGAAAATGTTTGTTCGCGACTCATCTATTGGTATTAACTCAAGGGTGCTCACATCCTTGATCGCAAACTGATTCCTCACATACTTGCAGAGTACCTATGTGGCACTTGTAGTCTGGCACCCAAAGATCGGTAGAACCAGTGTCAAGAACAACCTAAAGGTGTTTCCAATTAAACTTTGTGACTCTTGATCAATGTCCGCTTACCCTAAATTGCTGACCTGGTGTCCCTACTGTAATCGTACCAAGATAATTCAGGTCCCAATAATTATACAGCTGAAATAATGTTGACCAAAAACCTTTTGTGCGTTTTGTGTGTATGTATTGGGAAATGTGATACTCAAAACCCTCTGATACTTAACACCATTTCAACTTTCTTCTGAATAATTGTTCACAAAATTACCTTCTGGGCTATCGGAGCGTTTCTATCATTAGCTACGTGCAGCCGCATTGCCCTAATTGCTTTCATTTGTGTTGCCCAGGTGCCCTCGCGTATCATTTTGAACATTGGAGGCTCAACCCTCTTGAGAGGAATTTTGATAACATCACTCATTGTAATACTCGCAATGGTGAGCATTAGAAGTGCAAGCAGCCTCATCGCTGAAGTCATTTATCAGTTACGAAAATGGGAAGGAAGTGTTCAAGAACAGTTCAGTTTATGATTGTGAAAAGGCTGAGCAACATTTTCAAATTTGAGAGCTTGCCTTGTGAAAATGACAATACTTTTGTGCATGGTATATGAGGATTGGACGTATGTTTGCTCTCGCAAGTTGATCTCCTTGTGTCTATCTTCAAATTTGTTTTTGAAAAATGACATTTAGGATAGCATGCAATACCCTCCGAGCTGGGGAGGGGGAGGCAGCTCAAAAAAAAGCTTCATATCCTGAAGTTCCCAGTGTTTTGAACTTTAAGCTAATCTAATTATGCAGTGAGGGTTTTGCTACTCTTTGCTGTAAACATATGAAACACTAGCGAGAAACTGTATGACCCGCATTTTCCTCATCCACCTTTGAATCCCGTAATACTTTTCTTCAAAGTCAATGAAAACATTACAAAGTTGCAGTGTTAATACAGAGTGCCTCAAAAAGATGTGCACACCGTTTGACCGTTTTTAACTCTGTTGCTTTCATGTCTTTCGCCAAGTTTGAGACACTGTTCTGTATGGCGAAGTTGAACTTAGATCTACAGTATAAAGCGGAACATCATTCAGTCATTATTACAGCAGAATTGCGGAAACTTCAAGAAGAATGTTTGAAAACTAAAAACGTTTTTGCTTCAGAAAAAAAGCAAGCAAGCCAGAAATTCTTGCACTAGACTAATCGAAGTCATTGGTACTAAGTATGAAATGTGCACTTTACTGTAATGCGTAAGTAATTTTCTTTCGTAAGTAATTTCTGGTTCAGAGTAACAAGTGTTTTCAAATGTTCATCAAAAATGTGATTACACTATTAAAAGCTCGAGAAGCTGGTAAGAAGTTGTGTAGTGGAAACGGCACGATAAAAACATGAAAACCTTGTTATACAAATATCCAGATTTTTGACAATTTTCTCTTCAAAAGGCCTAATCCACTGTGGCACTATGTGCTGAAATTCGTATTGTAATCCTACAGTAATGAAGAGGGATTGATGGTTTGCTTCGTGCTGTAAATCTTAGTTGAAACTCGCGACAGAATGGTACTTTAAGTTCGGCGATAAACATGAAAGCAAGAGAGTTGATACGATCAAGCAGTATGCACACCTTTTTGGGACACCCTGTATAACTCAGCAGTGCTAAGCATGTTTTATGAGAGCAAATTTTGTATCGAAGTCATGAGAATTGCGATGAACCACAGATATAACTCGAAACTTATCAAAAATCTCACAAAACTTCACTACTGTTCTATACGTTTATATTAAGGTGATCTAGAACTGATGGGGCATCTAAAAAATAAAGGCAATTTTCTCAAACAGAAACTTAACTGGATGCCCAAGTTTTGGCGAATGTAGTGCATATCTACGGATCTAAGCCTTCCGATAGAGGTTTATAGGTGGGCACTGCCACACGGCGTTATTTTTATAAGCGCTTAAAATCAAAGCTCATCACTTAAAGTAATTTTGAACTTTGAGTAGCACCCCCGCAGTAAAACAAGCGACGCTTACCAAAGGTATTTGCGCAGCAATGGCTGAGGGTACTGTCACCTAATCCACGATAGTCTAGGTGGCCTCAACCGCTTTGGAAGAGAAGATATAGCATTAAGTATTTGGAGCTGTGTTGTTTAGAGTGGGGGGGGGGGGCAAAAGTCTGGGAGCCGAGTCAGTGTTGTAAATCACGAAACTACGTACAATTTTGCTTCTAAGTTTGTGCCACATAATATTGCGAATAAGCTCTATAAAACATACTTTACCTTGCAAAAATGCCTGCCATATGTTTTTGTAGGAACTGGATCTATCAAACAATGGCTATCGCAGAGCAAGAAAATCAAGATTTTGGTATTCACAAAATATTTCGTGGCTAAAGATGTGAGTATTCAGCAACACTTTTGTGCATACAATGTAGCGGAGGCTTTGCGCTATCACATCGTAGTAGTAGCATTTGCAGAAACTATTCTTTCGAAAACGCAAAATAATTTTGCCAATATTGCCAGCGTGCCAATGGTCATTTGGCTTCAAAAAAAAATTTGAAAACTATAGGAGCGCAGCAGGTACTCAGTTCTAGGCTATATTCTTTCTTCTGTATAGATATCAATTCGAATTTGGTAGACGGAGCAGTTATAATACATTTTAGATTATGATTTTTCGTCCCCGTTCGCGCAATCGCATCCGAATTTCCCGTACGCGAACACACTTGCTTTCACTTAAAATTCCAAAAAAAATTCACAAACATTGCAAAATTCCCATGTAATTTTCGCTGCCAAAAGCTCGCTCCATCATACTGCACATTTGCCTAGAGGAAGAAGCGGTTATCATAAAAGCGTGAACGAATCTCATTACAATCATCTGCGTGCCACGACAGGAGGACACAACAAGGTTTAGAAGGGCTGCTTTGAAGCCAAGATATTCCAAAAGTCAATTCCAAACTCTGAGAGCTGCGACGATGGTTCGGGTTATGCGTGTACCAAACTCTTCGTTTTTAGGAACTTTCCTTCCGATATTATCTGAAAAACTACTAGGCTCCCAGTCTTTTGCCCCACCATGTAGTTGATAGAAAAGAAATCCTCAGTGATGGTCAAAGAGCCAAAATGCCATCACGGTTTACCTAGTAGTAAAGAACAGTAAAACCTTTGACCTCGTAATATCCAGAACATCAGAGCTCTAAATATATAGCTTTTTTGAGCTGGTTCCACCAGTGGGGATGTTTATGCATGCGGCCCTCAGATAGCAGCGTTCCTACAAATGAGTTTAGTTTGTAACAAGCTATACACAAATGATGGCGCAGTTTTACCGTTTGGTTTCCGCATCATACAAAAAATGGTTATTTTTCGACGTGAAATTATAGTGTAACGCTCTAGATTGTAAGGTAATGAGCTTGAACGATCCAAGACCAACCGCTGTGCTAACGCTGGCAGTGTTCCAGCACTTGCGCAGTGTTAAGCATGTAACGGTCAAGTAGCGTTAGATACTCAATGGCGGAACGAGGGGATTTAACCGCTGCCAGCATACTGACCACTGCGGAAGTGCTGGAGCATTGTGAGTAATGCGGTTATAAAATGTGCAAGTTCACATTTGCGAATAACTGACATTATTCATACAAAATTGAGCTCCTGATGATGTTATATGTGCGTGGAAATTTTTGAAGTAATTCGAAATCTTTTTTAAGAAGAAAATATTCGAAAATTTTTTCGCCCTCTCCTCCAAAAAAAAATCTCTTCGAATACTTTACACATTCTATAAAAGCTCTTTCATGACGAAGGCGGTCGGTCCAGATTGCGACACGGAGCGGACGCGACCCGCGTGTTCGAGCATTTCTTATCATTAGGATAAGCCCGCGCACGCCTCGCGTCGCGGGCGGCCGCCTTCATCTCGAATAAGCTTTTACCAGTGGCGTACCCAGGATTTCGGCTCGGGGGGGGCGCGGCAAAAAAAATTTTAAATGAAGGTGCGTGGCGTTAGCCACGCACTCCGAAAAAATTTTAGGGGGGCTTCTCAACAATTTTGCGGGCTCCCAACCCCTAAAATCTGGAAAAAGCGGGCGTGGCGTCAGCCACGCCACCGAAAAAATTTTTTTTTATAAAGCTATTTTGAATTTTTAAAAAATTTAAAAAATTATTTTAATTGTTTACAAAAATAAACAAGTCATTTGCACATTTTTTATAACGCATGTAAGTAACTTTCAAAAATTTCGCGACCCGTTCTCGGGGGGGGGGGGCGCGCCCCCCCCCCCGCCCCCCCCCCCTCGGTACGCCACTGGCTTTTACGTAATAAATACTCTTACACTCTTAACGAAATATGTTGAGAGGTAAGTCATTTGTCAATTGCTTTTGGCCCAAGGCATATTTCACGCGATTCCGGTCGCTGCGCGATTTTGACACAATAGCGACTCATTCGTCGTTAATGCCCTGCCGTTGATTAGAACTCGATACATTTACAACAACTCACACAAGCTACCTAATATGCGTTCGATAAACGCGCACAATAAGTTTGTAGAAATCTGACAATGGCCAAGTCGAATGAAAGGGGCGACTCGACCGAATTGGTGAGGTATGCCTCAGGCCTTTTGAACATGGTAGCGGACACACCTTCTTTTACCAGACCTACTATTTAGATCAACATGATTTTGAAGCAGTGGTATCAACGCAGAGTACTGGATGAGGACGGGTAAAGATAAATGGAAAGGTATAATTTCAATTTCGGGAAGAAATGATGGCATTGTGGAAATGCGATTTCCGAATGCATTTGAGCAGATTAGTGAATGCCGTTGACAGTTTGGAATTGACAATGGGGGCCGAGAGTAGTTCAAATGCTGCAAAAACAAATCAATAGTATTTTGAGTCTTTGTGGTTGTTTCGAGATTCTGTGGTAGAATAAACTATGTTTTTTGTGTTGTTGAGTTTTCCTACCGTTAAAGCTGAAAGCTATGTTCTGTGAATATTCAGCAAATCGGGGTCGCCATGTCACTAATACCCTTGAAAGAATTGACAACCAGTATGGCAAGGTTATTTGATCTTACGAGGTATCACTTTGTTCTTACTAATATCTATTGGTTTTCCTCTCTGCTACCGCTTATATTTAGTCACTCATTTGATGTGGCGACAAAAAGGTCTCAATTAGAGTTTATCAGTTCAGCTTGAAACTTGGCGCAAGTTAGTTGACATCTTCAACTCTTATTGTGATTTGCTTAGATTTATACATTACTGTACAGTAATTCAAGTTTTTTACATGATGTACCCGACGGATTTTTTCTACAAAAATTTTCCTATGATAACAATAGCCAAAGTTTGTCAAAAACTTATATTCTTTTCAAAAATGGAGGTCTTGACGCTGGCTCATATCAAGTTCAAACCATCCTTTACCGATTCTAAATACTATCAACACGACAATGTCATATTAAAGCGGAGTTAAGGGCAAACATGTGACAGTCTTACGCATACATATATGGCAGTCCGAGGGGGAGGGGAGTCCC